GTCGAAGTTAGCATTGAGAGTCTTAAGCCATGTTGACATCATGGTCTCTTGATAGGATGTGTTCTGTCTGGTCTGTCAACCTCTAGTATTGCCCCATTCCAAACTATTCTCTACTCTACCTGCAGCCCGAAAGATATTTGAAGATATAAATATGATCATGTGTTTTATTTAAAACTGACAGTGGTTTTCTGTGGCCTTTAGAAGTAGGTCCAAAATCCTTAGCATATCCCGCCAGGCCCTCCATATGCTGACCTTTGCTTATTTTCCCAGTCTTGTTCCTCCTTCACTCCTTTCCTCTGGTCACACTTTGCGATCCTCATTGGCATCATACTTTCCTACCACAGCTTAGAGCTGTGTCATGCCTTGCGCCCAGAGTTGCCCTCTGGAATAGTTGGAAGACTGTAGATACTTCTTTTTAACATCTCCCATCTTTCCTTGTGTCCTCTCTGCTCCCACACTTACCCATTTCTTGCAATACCAAGAAATGATACAACCTTGCCCACATTCAGGAGTTGTAAGTATCTCATTCATTGTGGAAGCTGAGGATTTTAAGCAAGGGAATCCTGATGAAAGTGTTTTCACAGGAGGGATTTGTTTTTCTTACAAAGTAACGAACCCATAGGTGGGTGGATCTAGGATTGAATTCAGCTGCTCATTCTCTTCACTATTCACTCATGGTCACAATATAGCTGCCAACAACAGAAAGGTGGCACAGCACCCAGCATCAAAGAAAGGAAATAAGTCTTCTCTTTATTATTGTTCTTTTTCTCAGGGAGGAAAATATTGTCTTGGAAATCATCTCTGAGACTCTTTCACAAGCCCATGACCACAGGTGTCCCAACTGTGAGGGACAAGGGCAGTTGAGCACCAAACTGCTACTAAAGGAGGCCGCCTCTGCCCACGAGGACGAGGACGAGTCAGGGAATGGCCGTGGGAAAGTGGTCTTCCTGTTTATACGATGGGCGCTATGGTCCTGTAAATGTCTTCTGTGTGGACTTGTGGAGGAAAGGTATCCTGACATTCAGGGATGCCTATTTTCAGCCTATTTGCTAGTATCTTTACTCTCTCCAATATGATTACCACTAGCTACATAAAACTTCTTAAAATTAAATTTACATGAACTAAAATGAAGTAAAACTTAAAATTCAGTTAGTGTTGACCTTTAGGTTTCCCTTGGTGGATACCTGGGGAGTGTTGGCTTGGTTTATAGACCAGCTGGTTTTCATTCAAACCAAATAGAAATCAAAAGTTAGGAAATGTGTCTCCCCTCAGAGCAAGAGTATTAACATGAGAATGACCGCCTATGGGCGATTCAGCCACATGTTTGTATGGATTGACATGATGTGACTTCATCTTACACAGCAAACTTTCTTTGTGAAATATTTGCTACAGATCACATTCCCATTTTTTTATTTTGGCTTAAAAATTATTGACATGTTGGGTTTAATTTTAATTATAGGTTGTTTCAGTTATGTCAGTGAACTGTGGCCCTTCAGGTAGGACTAAGAAGGTTTTCCTTGTTTTCATACCATCCTGTCCCAGTGCAACCATTGCCTGTTCCTCAGTTGAATTTGACCGGTATGTTCAATTCTGGGCTCAAGAAGGAAACATAAAACGATTAAGTAAGTGTTCAATGGAGAGAGTTCTTTTGCATTATTTCAGTTACAACCAAAGCAATGCTCTTTCTATCCCTAGTGATTTTAAATATTGTTCGCCAGCCTAGTGGCTCTCAGTGCTCAGACAGCAAATCAAACTAAACACTGAGGGAAGTAGAATATAGCTCATTAAGTTAGTTTTGCTTTTGATGAGATCATTTCAAGATCTCAAACAGCAGTGGGGAAAATTTAGAAAGACAATATTGGTGAGATAATTAAAAAACTCTTAAAGTGTCTTCTATATAAATAGTTAGTCTTGAAATATCTGGTAATGAATATATGATCCTTGTACAAAAACCAGAAAATAGACTGAGCAAAAAGGGAAGAGCCAGTCACTTATAGTAGTCCCTCTTGCAAGAGTTCACAAGTGTTGACATTGTGGTGGATACATTTCCAAATTTTATTTCTCTATTTTATCAGTTTATATTTGTTTACTTATCACAAAATTTAAATCTGTTTTAGAAGTGATTTAAAAATGTATACTTACATATTTATAATGGTTACACATAATGCACAATTATTATTTATTATGCATATGTATATGAGCAGGTATTGTCTACAGATATTTTTAATCAACAACTTTATTTCTATTTGTTCCAAAGTATTTCATTTAATGGTATATAATTCATTTAATAGAAACTATTGTTTTTGGCTACTATACATATATTATTGGGGTGTATTCCTTTTATTTGTCTATATATTTAGGATAATTGCTTAGAATTTTTAAGACAGAAAAAAATAAGGTTCAAAAAGACGCCTCCATGACGACTTCGGGTACAGCTTCATGCCTGGCCAGGCAGAGGCCTCTGGCTGGACCAGGCGCTGGCCCCTGAGCAGGCCCTTCCTCTGGCTCTGGAGTGCTCTGGAGCCCTGGAGGTGGACCTGGAGCAGGAGAAATGGACAGATTAACACACAGACCTGACGTTCCATGCCTTGCCAAAGATAAGAAAGGTGCCACTGCCTATAAGGGCACTGCGGCCCATGAATCTCCCCTCCCCAGATCACCTTCTCAGAATGCGTTTCCCTCACCTTCCAGCATGGCCTTGGTGGGCTCCAGATGCTCCAGCTCCATCCAAAGGAGACAGGCGTGGCCCGCGTGGTGTGGGGCAGGGAAGTTGGCCTGCATTGAGGCTTGCTTCAGCTGGAACCAGGGGAAGCGGAGAGCCCGGCCAAAACCCTGCACCTGGTCGGGCCAGGTTCCCACCGTAGAAGCAATGGCTCTGGGGAGAGGTGGGTAGGCAGCGGAGTCAGAATCTTGGTCTTTGCTTACACACAGCCCTCCCAGGGCACCCTTGTTTGGGACCAGACCTCTGTGCCTGCCCCTGCCCATCTAGGGGACAGCTTCATGCCAGCCCTGACCCCTTAGTGGCTGTTCTGAGAGCAGCAGGCCTGGTGATTAAGCAACTTTCACACGGCACCTGTGTGAGTCTTTTCTTCCCACTGACAGTTCTGAATGTCCTGTCCCCTGCCCAGCCCTCCATACACCTGGGCATCTGCACTGAGGGTTGAGACAGATGTGTGAGCAGGCCATTTTGAGCCAGGTGTTGGTGGTCAGGAGAGATGATTGTGGAGAGGGGCAGGCAGAGCAGGATGGGACTGGGGTAGGTTTGGATCTCTGGGGGACAATTCAGCCCACCCCTCTTCTTAGGTCCTGTGAGGCCAGGGGCCCATCCACAGTCCTCTTGGACCCCTGTCCTCCCAGAATAGAAGCCATCAGGGCTCAGGGATCCCTTGGGAATGAGAAGATGTGTAAGATCGTGGTTCTGCCAGGCCCTCCCCATGCATTGCCTTCATCCTGTGGACTCAGGAGGCCCTCCTTCTGGACCCAAAGACCACTCGCTTTTTGACTTGGTCCTGTGGTGTGTCACCCTGGTCATTATGAGGAGGTATGCCTCCAGATGTGGAGAAGACCTTGATGGCATCAGATCTGATGGGTGGGGGACAGGACCTGAGAATGATGGACAGTGTCACTGTCTGATTCACCGAGTGGAACTGGGGCCCAGGGATTGTGTCTCCTTGATTCTCCGAGTTATGCTAAGTGTCTCCAAAAGTGCCTACTTGTGGTAGGTGTTTAATACACATTGTCGAATACATGAACTCCAACGAGAACCATCCCAGATATATGAGTGGGCCTGTGGCCCCCTGCTCTCCCTAGTCTGCCAACACCAACGATGAGGACAGGGATCAGCTAAGTGGATTCCTGAACTCCTTGACTGCTTGTTTTCCACGTGCTTTTGCAAACTCAGAAATGTCACAGGCCAAGGAAAATATAAAAACTAACAGAATAAAATAAAATGAAAAAACAGAAATGCCACTGATGGGTCAGGCAGATGACTTTTCATGGGGGACAGAGAAATAATGGGCATGAACAACTATAGCCCATCCAGCAGCCCTTTCAGCAGAGCCAGGCAGCAGGTTGGCACCTGCCATGGCTCATCCCTACAGTAGTCTCTGCAAGAACCTTATGAGGTTTATCCTCCACCCCCCACCCCACTTTTCAGAAGAGCGAGCTGAGGCTCACAGAGATATGGTGACATTTTTAAGACACAGAGCTGGCAGTGCTCAGAATCACCACTGTGCCCAAGAAGGGGGAGTGTGCTCACCTATTATACAGCAGGTCCAGGAACTCTTGGGCTCCGGATAAGGCCGGGTGGATGGATATGAACGTGGTGGTGCGGGAGATGTTTCCACCCGGAAGAGCTGGTACCACCGACGCTGCCACCTTCCTCAGTGTGCCTTCCTGTAGGGCCCGCATCCTGTTAGCCTCACTCAGGTTGTGTGTTAATTCAGCTGCACACTGGGTGGGTCAAGGAGGGATCTGTCAGTGGCATCCCTGTGAATCATGAGGAGGATGAGGTCTGGAGCTCAGGCAGGAACTCTCAGACCCTTAGGGACGTGTGCCAGAGGAAGGACCAGGTTCTAGGTTTTAAAGGTACCACTTAAGTTTGGTGGACAGGGGATATTTATACAATTGTTACCTTCTAGTCATGTTGTTTTAGCTAAGGAGCAACAGACCTCCTTGTCTAAATAGTCTTTATGAATGAAGACCATTGTTCCAATGAGTTCTCTAGAAACATCTCCATTATATAGAGATGAGAGCCCAGAGGCTTAGGGATAGCAAATGGCAGCTCCAGGGCATGCTGGTCAGAACTGAAAACTGTCCCAAGCTAGGACTGCATGACATTCCCTCTTAGCTGCCTGAGACTTCTCTGCTTCTGACCTGGATGGAAAGGGCCTTGGGAACCTTATCCCTCCAAGTTGGAGGACAGGGTACAGGGTAGACCCAGGCTATGAAAACCATTGTCTTCCAAAATGACACTTCTGTTTCTTCCTTTTACATTAAAGGACATTTTTGGACCCTCATTATGGAGATCCCAAATTCAGCCAAGGGGCAAAGGCTTGATGAGTCCAGACTGGAGAAAGTTGGAGTGTGAGCACATGACTCAGGAAGTAGCTAATCCATGTGGCCAGTGGAAAGCCGATGGGTGAGTCAAAGTACCCATGAGGCAATTGCCAGTAAAGGAACACTGTGATTGCCTTGAACAACCTGGTTTTGGATTGGTCAAAATTTAAATGAGTGAGAGATCCTTGGGCCAGATTGGGTGCTAGTCAGTGGCCATCATCACAAAACTGATGTTGGCACCATCACTGCTCCAGCCTTTTCCATTTGTAATCAGGCTGCAGCTCCTAAAATGTTACATGTGCACATCCTTCCATCTGGACTGGACGTCTATCTACAGCTGTATATCACAATATTATATCCATTGTGGTGTGAATTGTATCACCCAAATTCCATGACCTTGGAACTGCTAGAACTTGAGCATGTGCCTGTCCTTGAGTTCTAGTCTCTAAGCAAGCCATTCAGGTAAAGGGAATTCAGTGGTCTTGGTCTTAATCCAATATGACTAGTGTACTTCGAAGAGAAGGGGAGGATATACGGAAGCAAAGAGGGGACTCCTTGTGGCATGGAGATAGAAGACACCCATCCACAAGCCCAGGAGAGACCCCCTCAGGAGGAACCAGCCCTGGTGACACCCTCATCTCTAACCTGTCGCCTCTGGAATTGTGAGAAAATGAATGTCTGCTGTTTATACCAACCAGTCTGGTTTGATGTTACAGCATCAGGAGGAAACTCATACACTACATTTGGACAAACTTAAGTGTTTCTCACAGCACTGCCGGTGTGGTGCCTAAATTGAATTATGCCACTGTCCCACAGCACTGAAAGTCTGCATGGCAGTGGCAGAGGACCTCTGTGATTGGAGAAGGTCTGCAAGGACAGGATACCTGGGGCAGGTAGTTTAAACAACATAAAAAGGAAAATGTAAATGTGCTTGTGGCCTACTGTGAAATGAAACAACATATTTTTTCTCTCTAATATTCCTGCAAATATGTGTGGAGTGTCCTCCCATGTAGCTGGAGGGAGAAGCGGAACTCTAGATTCCTTTGTGCATGGGACTATGGGACACTCTAGGGCAGTGATTCTCAACCTTCTGGCCCTTTAAATACAGTTCCTTACATTGTGACCCAAGCATAAAATTATTTTCGTTGCTACTTCATAACTGTAATGTTACTACTGTTATGAATCGTAATGTAAATATCTGATATGCAGGATGGTCTTAGGCGACCCCCGTGAAAGGGTCGTTCGACCGCCAAAGGGGTCGCGACCCACAGGTTGAGAACCACTGCTCTAGGGGCAGCCCAAGGAGGATCCTGGGGAGTCCTGATTTGAGTCTGGGTTCTGAGCACTATCAGGTCCTCTCAGGGTGGTGGGTGAGGAGACACACTCCTCCCCCTCAACCACCACTGGGCCAGCTCTTACCTCAATCTGGCACCGGATGGTGTCTGTGGCCTGACGCACCTTCCCCTTATCTAGGGAGATAGAAGAGTTGAACCCACTGATGAGCTCTTCCACAATGTCCTCTTTGGAGCTCTACAGAGACAGAGCCCGTCCTGGGCCAGTAGGCATTAGGAACCCTCCACCTAATCTGCGGTTCTATCTTACAGCAGCCCTGGCAACTCAGACAGTCTGTTAGGACTCAATGAGGATGATCCCGGCAGCCCTGCTGAACTAGAAGCAGAATTGTTCATAAGTTCCAACAGCACTGAAAGGCTGAATCACTGAGGAAAATTATGTCCTTTCTGAGGTGATACGGAGATGCAGAAGGTCATGACTGCTGACGTGGCCAGCCTGCAATGGTTTGCTGTGCTCTGTGAGATGACAAGTTGCAAAGAAGTGTATCCAGTTCTTGTTCATACCACCCAATTAAGTGTGATGATGTATAAGGCTCTGAGAAGGTCTCTAAAGACAGTTGTGCTGACTACACCACAGGATACCAGGGTCAGGTAATTCAAACCACTACAGAGCAACATGCAAATGTGCTCGTGTTCTACTGTGAAGTGAAACAACATACTTTTTTTTCCTAATATTCCTAAACTATGTGAGGAGAGTCTCTCCTACCATGTAGCTGGAAGGAGAAGTGGAGGTCCAGAATCCTTTATACATAAACCTGTGGACACTCTAGTGGGAACACCCTGGAGGAGTCCCCAGATTTGAGTCTGGGTTCTTGACCTTCCCTGGTCATCTTGGGTTCTGGGGTGTGGAGACCCCCCGAGGCCAATTCTCACCTCAGACCAGCACTGGCTGCTGTTGTTGGCCTGGTGCACCTGCACCCTGACCCGGCAGATGGTATAGTGGGGTCCATGGACCACCTCCTCAATGACATCCTCATTGGAGTTCTGCAAAAATAGAGCTGGGTATTGAGCCAGTAGGCATCCAGAACCTTCCATCTGTGGTCTCCTGTTATGGCAGACCTAGCAAACTGATACATTCTGTTAGGACACAGTGAGGATATTCCTGGAAGCCCTGTTGAACTGACAGAAGGATTGAATCATGTCAAGGTCCAACAGCACCAAAATGCTGGTGGATAAGGCCACAGCTCCTGACCTGGCTGGCATACAATGGTTTGTCATGCTCTGTGAGATGACAGGTTGCAGAGAAATGTGTCCAATGCCTTCATTCCTCCCCATGCTTTTTTCTTTTTTCTTTCTTGTGTTTTTGTACAAACCACCCTATCATGTATGATGATATGTAAGTGTTGGAAAAGTCATTCAAGGACAGTCGAGCTGACTGCTCCACAGGATACCTGGGGCAGGTAGTTAGACAATCATAATGAGCCAAATGCAAAGACAGCAAGAATTTTTCTCTCTACCATTTCAACAAATATGTGAAGACTGTATTCCTACCCTACCAGGAACCTGGATGGGAGTATTGGAGGTATAGATGTCTTTGGGAGTGGGCCTCAGATTTGAGTCTGGGTTCTGGTCCCACCCAGTCATCCCCGGTCCTGTTTGTGGGACAGCTCTCACCTCAGCCTGGCACTGGATGGTGTTCCTGGCCTGACGTTCTTGTCCTTTGTACCGGTTGGCAGCATAACTGAATGCCTCAACCAGCTCCTCTACGACATCCTCGTTGGAGCTCTACAAAGACAGAGCCCGGTGCCAGGCAAGGAGGCATCAGTGGCCTGCCTGGGCGTTGCCAGCTTAGGGAGATGCCCATCACAAATTCTGCTCCCCAGATCAGGCACAGAGGGGCATCTGCAAAGACCTCAGCCAGGGAAGGCATGAGATGACACCTTGTGGGCTCAAGATTAACAAGTGTGTGAGGAGCTTGGTACCCAGTGTTCATATTTCCATCCCACCAGCTATGAGTTGGGTATGAACATGATAGACCCCCCAGGCTTCCAACCGCCAACAACCAGCTCCTGCCCAGGATGAGTGCCCTTCATCCCCCACTTTCCCTCACCAGGCCCAACACACACAAGTATGTAGGATGAGGGGTCAGAGGCTGGGGCTGGCCTGGTAGGATCCCAGTTGGGGCCTGGCATGGATGGGCCAGCCATTGGTTACCTGAGGGCGCCTCCTGCCAGAGGGCGGGAGGTGTCCATGGTGCTGCTTGCGCCAGACTCTACAGCAGAAATATCTCTCACTCTGTGCTTTCTTCTGCCCAGAGCCTCGGCACAAAGTCGGGAAGCAACAGAGAAACATCCTCCTCTCCTGACTGTCTGCAGTCAAGTGAACTAGACTTCTCTTTTCTGTTGGGATTCTGTCACCGAGGAAGTGAGGTCACTCTTTCTAGGTTCCATGACCTACGCCCCTTTCTCCAATCAGAGCGACCAAAAGCCCCCTCTGGGCTGTTGACCGTTGCCCCTCCTGGCCCATGTCATCTCCACACATGTGCATCAATACCCAACACAGCCCTTCCCACAGTTCCCTGGGCATGTCCCAGGTCCCCAGCTTGGAGGAGAAAGCTGAGTTCACACCTCCCTTTTCTTATGAGTTCTGTGCCCTAGGGAAGCCTTTGTGCCTCTCAGAGCCTCCCCAGTCTCCCTACCTTCACAATGAGAGTGATGCTAGACACCATGTCCTAAGGACCTCATCAGGTATGGATGAGATAATGCCTCTATCACAGCCTGTGGGCTGGCGTCCCATGAATCTGGTACACAAACATAGAAGTGGAAGCATTACAAGAAGGGGTGGGTTGTAGCACGGAACATCTACCTAAACATGCTGGGCGGGGGGGGGGGGGGGCAGTGTGTGATCTTGGGGAAGTCACTGCCTATTTTGGCCTCATGTCTGCACCTTGAAGGGGTTAAAATGACAGGAAATTCAGATATTGTCATTTACTGACCTAAAACCTTCCAGTGGTCTCTTGTTAAACTTAGAATCAGACCCAGTGCCTCATGTCAGTCCATGTGGTGGGAGCCTTCACAGTGGCTTCTAGTGATTCCTGCCTCCTGGAGGGAACATCCTGTGCGTCCACTGAGTGCTTAGGACAGCCGTGGGCAAACTGCGGCCCGTTTGAAATGAATAAAACTAAAAAAAAAAAAAAAAAAGACCGAACCCTTTTATGTAATGATGTTTACTTTGAATTTATATTAGTTCACACAAACACTCCATCCATGCTTTTGTTCCGGCCCTCCGGTCCAGTTTAAGAACCCATTGTGGCCCTCCAGTCAAAAAGTTTGCCCACTCCTGGCTTAGGAACTGGCTTCTGAACAGTTGAAAATACAGCCCAGGTGATGGGGTGTCATGTCCTATCATTCCTCTGTCATTCTTGAGTTTCCTTCCTTCCTCTAAGCCTCTATTTCATTTTCTCTACGTATATCTCTGTTTGCCTGCCTGCCTGCCTGTCTGTCTGTCTTATCCATAGAAGTAGGAGAGCAAGCACCCATGTTTTGAGCTGCCCTATGTAGAGACCTTATTGGAGAGAACTGAGGGAGTGCCCAGGACAACAGGCAGGAGCTAGAGCTCTCCTCAGGCTAACCTGCATCCTGACACAAACCAGGCTGGTGACCTTGGGGGGAAATGTGTTCCTAGTTCAGCCTCAGTGAAAACATACTTCCTGCTTCACAGAGACCTTGGGGCAGAGGCACCCAGCCCAACCGTGCCCAGATGCCCAGTCCACAGAAGTTGTGAGGTGTTAGTAGTGTACTTTACAGGTGTAAGAGCATGTTGTTTTGCCTTAGTATGCCCATTTGACACGTGGCAATAATAAAAACATACCCTCTCTGAGGTCCTGGAGAATGTAAAAGAATTAATGTTTCAAAAATGCTGAGAACACGTGGCCTATCCCAAGGGTTGTGTTGACATGTTATAAGTCAGTTTAAAAATTCTTGTTACAGTGTCTAGAACAGTGGTTCTCAACCTTCCTAATGCTGCACCCTTTAATTCAGTTCCTCATGTTGTGGTGACCCCCAATTTCATTGTTACAAATTGAACATAATTAAAGCATAGTGATTAATCACAAAACAATGTCATTATATATGTGTTTTCCAATGGTCTTAGGCGACCCCTGTGAAAGGGTCGTTCGACCACCAAAGGGGTTGCGACCCACAGGTTGAGAACCGCTGGTCTAGAAGGTCCTGAGGGTGTGAGCGAGCCAAGCCTTTTGCCTGTTAGGATGCAGGGACTGTTAATTATTAGACAGCAGGCCCATAATGGAATCGTATGTGCTAACCCCGACGTCACCAACCCGAGACTTGGTGACAGTTTTGGCTCTCTGAGGAATGGAATCTTCAACCAGTCCGTCAGCCTGATGTCCCTGCCAGCCCTTAAAGCTGAGTGAGAGAATTTCCAACTTCCTTCAGACTTTTAACAAAGTCTCTAAGTGGCTGACAATGGTGATCTAATACAGTGAGGCCTTGACTTACAAGTGTCCCAACTAATGAGTTTTTCGAGATACGAGCTGTCTCTTGGCCAATTTTTTGCTTTGAGTTGCGAGCTAAAATTCGGGTTATGAGCCAGCTTCAGATACCCCACCGCTAGTTGGCGCAGCGAACGTCACAGTGAACACCACATCATCAGCCCAGCATCATGTGTCTCACTCGTTCACTTTAAGCGGTTAGCTCTTAGTTGAAGCATCAGTGTTGTGCTCACATTTGTGCTTGCAGTTATTTTGCAAAACTTCGTTTTTTCAACCATGGATCTGAAGAAAGTAAGTGCGAAGGACAGTGCTGAGAAGAAGAAGTGGATGATGTGCATTGAATTAAAGAAAGAAATTATCGAAAAACGTGACCAAGGTGTGCGTGTAATCGACTTGGCAAAGCAGTATGAGCATAGCATTTCTACGATCTGCACCATACTGAAGCAGAAGGAGTCGATACAGGCTACAACTCCAGCCAAGGGTGTTAAAATAATTTCTAAACAGCGGACATCTATCCATGAAAATATGGAGAAGCTGCTAATGGTGTGGTTAACGGAAAAGCAGCTCGCAGGAGATACTGTGATGAAGGCTATAATCTGCGAGAAGGCACGAGCTATTTATGCTGATTTGCTACAGTAGACCCCAGGCACTTCAATGGATGAGGCATCGGGCGAGCCATTTAAAGCCAGTCAGGGCTGGCTCAAAAATTTTAAAAAGAGGACTGGCACTCACTCCGTTGTCAGACATGGTGAGGCAGCGAGCGTGGATATAAAGGAAGGTGACATCAACGAGCTCATCGAAGAGCACTCCGAGGAACTGACAACGCAGGAGCTAAAGGAGCTACAGACGCAGCAGCACACGGAGGTTTTGCAGGAAATAGATGACACGGAGGAGGAGGAGGAGGTTATCTCTATAAGTGAGATAAAGGAAATGCTGGGAATGTGGGAGAAACTTTCAGACTTTATTCAAAAGAAACACCCAGAAAAAATTGCAACTGGGCATGCGATGGAGCTATTTAATGACACTTGCCTAACTCATTTCAGAAATATTCTGAAAGGGAGGATGGAACAGATCTCATTGGACAGGTTTTTATCGAAAACTCCTGTAGATGAAAGTGATGAAAGCGTGGCGAAAAG